GCTCTAAATACATGATTCTACAATCCTATGAACTCTACCACTCTATGACCTTCCACTATCAAGCACTTAGCATAGTGCCTGACTGAAAGTAGGTGTTTATCACTCACCTGATAAATGTTGTATCAACTGACTGACTGACTGACCATTCTTAACTCTCATTGAGCTCTGTCACTCTCAGTAACACTCTTCCCCATAACCTTCTAGTGAGGCAACGCCCATTCAGTGAATAGGTCTCTTTAAGGAGTGAGTAAATAAAAAATAATTTTTTAATTAAAAAAAATCAGACTAGGAGAGGAAGACCCTCTCAAAGTGAGAACTTGAAAAAACAGCTTAAATGGGCCAGGGTCTCCCACTGCATCTGGGGCCATCTCCAGTCCTCCTGATCAATATCTGGCCACCGAACCCACATGGCTCTGGAGGAGAAAGTGAGGCTGGTGACCTTGCACAGCCCTGCCTCACTCAAATCAAAGTCAATTGCAAGTCATGTCATTATCTCCCTGATGGCATGGTCCTCTTTGAGAATGAAGGACAAACCACAATCCCCATACCCTCAGTTCCCTGGGGCTCTCATTCTTTTTCAAATGTTGTTTTCCAGAAAGGACTAGAAAACTCAGTTATGCTAAGGTGGAACTGAGAGATAAAGTTTAAAGATAGAGTTTAAAGTTTTTTGTCTCCTAGGGTACTGGTATTTTAATTACAATCAAAATTTTAAACTGAAGGAATAAAGTCCCACTGATGGTGTTTTAAGCCATCAGTAAGCTGAGCAAGGGAAAATAGTTTTTTGGGGCCTGGAAACTAATGAAAGGAGCAGGAAGATCTCTATCTTTCTCTTTGTCTCTATTCTCATTCTCATATTCTCTCTATCTCTTTCTCTGTCTCCCCCCCCCCCCACCCCATGCATTAGTAAGCATTATTTTTCACAGATTAGCCAATCTCAAGAGGCTCCCCAAGACTTTCCCCCCACTCTTTCTCCATCAGGTACCCCTCTCTTCCCATCATAAGATCATAGAATTGAGTCTAAAACCTTACCGATAACCTAGCCTAATCCCCTGACCCCCCTCTCAATTTACATAAGAGGAAACTGAGGTCTAGGGTGGTTATTTAAATGGCTTGTCTAGATCGCATACAGTGAGTAAAGAACCAATATTGGAATGTAGTGGGACACTTTCCCCTTCCCATACCTTTGTTGCCCCCCAGTTATTCTCCCACATTTTATGGATGCCCAGAGAAGCAAATTAAGGGCTGGGTTGTGGGTAGGGGAAGCAGGAGGGGATCCCACAGAAAATGGGCAGAACCCAAGAATCTCTCCCACTTGCCCACCAGTAGGAGCTTTCCCCTGAAGGTTCCTTTGGGCTGCCTGAGTACCACCCCCAATACGCATCCAGATGTTTCACAGTCAGTTCCCGGCAAGCAGGTATCCTTCCTTTCTCCTTCCTCCCTCCCGTCCCTCCCTTATCATCCCATCCCAGAAGGATGTCCTCATGTACTCGGGCAGTGGTCTTTCCCCTTAAGGACTAACTCTTCTTTATATCCCCCCCCCCCCCCCCGAGGCGCTCTTGTGTACCCCTTCCCCAACCCACCCCCAGCAGGGATCTTTGACACTAGGGCTGTGAAGTTCGGGGTATTTTTAGGCCAGTGATAAATAATTCATAGGGAACGAGACATCAGGTTGCTCCCACCCCCCATGGGAAGAAGGGGCGCAGGCGAGGAGGGCCACAGCTACTTGGCGGCTCAAGGACGTAAGCGATGCCGCGGTGGCTTTGAGCCCGTCCTGGCGGTCAATCCAAGACCGCCCAAACAGTAGCGTCACTGCTACCTGCGGACTCGACCCTCGGGGTGGGGGGGGACGGGGGGGGGAGGTGTGCGCGCGCGCGCGCGCGCACACACACACACACACACACACACACACACCCCACCCCTGTTCTCCAGTACATCCCCACTCCCAGAGAGGTTGCTTCTCCAAACAAGGATCCCCAGGCGTATTACAGATCCATGCTTTTCCCTCCACCCCCGTCCCCAGCCCCGAAAGATTAGATACTTTAGGAAAGAAATCTGGAGCCCGGCTCCTTGCCTGCCCCTAGACCCCTTTCATCTTGCTCTCTGCCTTCCCAGGGACTGAGTCACAGATTCAGGCAAAATGCGAGGATGAGGGCTAGGAGTCTAAGGCCAGGCAGGACAAGTTCCTACTGGGCACTGGAGGATCAAGTAAGAGGAGAACAAGGGTCGAGGTGCTGGGGGCCCCATTTCGCCCTTTCTCCTTACTAGAATTCCGCCTTTCGTAAGCCATCAGCCTAGGATGTGGAAACAGTATATGGAGTGGGGGTGGGGTGGGGGAGAGATAGAGGGTGGAAGTCCGTTCTAGGAAGATTTGGAGTGTATGTGAAAATGAGCCGTCTTGACTGGAGCTTACTTTCGGGAACCAGAGACCCTAGATTCTCTCTTCTTTGCTTCGATAATTGTCCTACAACAGTTTAGCGCTTGGAGATTACAAAGCAGACAGTAACAGCCACAATTCTCCCAGACCCCTCCCGATACGAGTTGGACACTATCTAGATCCCAATACCACGGACCCTTGGGGCTCTTGGCGGAAACCAGGAATGGGGGAAAGCCAGAAGGAAATAGAGGGACCCACAGCTCCCAGCAGCTACCAAGCTAGCCTTGTGCCCAGCGCCTGCCTAGCACACACTTTCCCCTCACTTCTTCCTTTCCTGTCCTCGGATACCTGAGTGTGAGGGTCAGTCTTTAGGGGTGGGAGGGGAAGAAGATCTCACACCTCCTCTCCGCTCCACCCCCAACCCCCTAAGTTGCAGAATCCCTGGTTTCTGAAAGCATACAATACGTTGAGGGACGAGGGATGGAGGAAGGAGAGAGGAAAGAAGCGGAGACTGGAGGGAAAAGGCAGACAGCGAACTGGCGGGGATGAGAACGGATCCGACAACGTCCCAAGGAGACTGTTCCAAGGTGGAGACAGATGGATTTAGGGAACCCCAACTACTCTCTGCCTCCCACTCGGCCCAATCGCCTGGACTAGAGTCAGATCCAGCCATGGTTCCCAGCTTGTGGCCTCACTGCCTGCAACAGTTGGCTGGGGTGGGATGGGGGGCGGAAAAGAGGCGAGTATTGCAGTTTGGACAGTTGGGTCCCTGGCCGCCCCCTCCCAGTACCACCTGTCCCAGGGTAAGCCAGTGAAAGGACTTTCGGATTCCTTCTCGCCCCCGCAGGCCGACAGGACTATGCGCTGCTCCGGGCCTCTCTGCTCACGTCCTTCCCCGCGTCCCCAGGGCGTCCCCTCCCAGCTCGCTTGTCTCCTGTATGTCCCCTCGCTCTCTGCAGCTCTGCACCGCGCTCCCCTCCACCGGCTTACAGTCTCCGGTAGACCCCCCGGGTCTTCGGTCCGGGTGCTCACCTCCAGCTCGCTGCCCTTCCTCCTCGAGCAGTGCAGGACCGCGCGCGCTCCAGAGTTCTCTGGGTGTCCTCCTGTCTAGGTCTCCGCCGTCCTTGCCCCATCTCCGACCGGATCCCAGCACCAATAGCCCTAAGTTGGTGGCGAAGTTGCCGCCCCCCACCTAGGGTTGCTGGCCCGCCCCGCCTCCTGCAGTGCACTCACCCGGGAAGAGAAGGGGCGCTTCGCCCGCCCGCCCGCTTGTCCTCCTGCGCCTTTGCCTCCGACTCCTCACGGAATCCCGCTACTCTATGACTTATACTGCGGCCGCCCTGCCAGGGGCTCCGGGAGGGCACCGCGAGCATTCAGTTGGGAGCTAAGCCCAGGCGCTCCGGAGCCACTACCAGATGTGCTGGGCCGGGCCCTCCCCGGGACTCCATGCTCTTGGCCCTTGGCCCCCTCGGTGCCTGGCGCCCGGGGCTAGGCTGGGCTGCCCGCTTCAAGCTTCGCTTCGCTTCGCTCTCCAGTTTAAATGTGGCTGAGTCGTCCGCGGTTGTTGCCTAGTCCCCGGCAAGTCCTGTAGGGGCATCGACTCCTTCCGCCTCCACGCCCCTCCCGCCTGCCCGCCCGCCACTCGGAGCGCAGCCCCCCTTCTGCTCCCAGAGTCAGCCCGGAGACAGCCGGAAGGCAGCGTTGGGTCGCTTGGGCTTCTCAAGCCACTTTGCACGCAGCCTTCACGCGGATGTTCCGATATCTTCAGTCCACCTCCTTGCTCTCTCCCCAACCTCACTCCGGGCAGGGAAGCTACCGGGAGGGGGAAATCAGGGGGGGAAACGACATGGCAGGCCAGGACTCCCGGCTTCTCTTCTGCGCTTTGGACCTCTTCTTCATTTCTAGAATACACACCATTCCCCAGGCTCTCGGAGTGACCCCCCAACTTCAAAGGGGGCTTGGAAACCCACGTGGAAAGCACGATTAATGACGGCAAAGGGCTGGAGCCCCAGCCAGGAGGAGGGGTGCCCTCCATGGACAGGAAGGTTGCACAGCAAGCCCTTGGGAACAGGGAGGGGGAAAGGCCAGCTCCTAGCTCTGCCTTTTCTCTGGCTCCTTCTCCTCCTCCTCTGAATCCCAGTGTTAACAGCCTGGGAGAAGCCAACGAAAACCTGAGGGAGATGGGGCTGACCGGGGCTCCTTGGCCTCCTCTACTGAAAGGGCTCTTCACCTGCAGCCCCTGAAAACTCAGAGGGGAAAACATTTACATCTTCATTTTCATGAACCTCTAACTGAAATCTAGCATGACTTTCCATTATTTAAAAACGTTCTTCTGAGTAGAGGTCCCTAGCCTTCACCCACACTGCCAAAGGAACCCGAGCCACCAAAAAAGCTGTTTGGAGGCAAGGGCAGAAGACTGGGAGCAGCAAAAAATTGGGGGGAGAAGGCGCCTGGGTCCCTCACTGAGACCACTCCCGAGGATTGGCAAGAATCTCCAAGCCAAATATGATAGTGCATCCCTCTTAGGGAGACACTACGCCACCTGGTGGCCATGGGTCAAGGGCTATTGACAGGGTAACCCTGGGCAGGATCCAAAGAACCCATCTCACACAGCTCTTTATTTCTACTACGACTTTTATTCCAGTTCTTTACTTCCACCTTGGTTTCTGATACCTGTGGCCCACTGAGGCATGTCAGATGAAGGATGAGTTAGGACAGCAGTGGGCATCTATGCTGTGGTTTAGAGCACAGATGTAAACTGAGGCTTCTGGGGATTCCGATCAATCTCTGACCTGCCCCAACATAAAGTGATCCAAACGCTGGTGGCTAAAACATAACATGCTAAAAACAAAAAAAAAAAACAGTGGAGGGAGGCAGAGAAATTGCTCAAAAGGGCACCGGAGACAGTGGCATAGGCCAGGGACCCCTGAGAAAGAGGGGTGGGGGCGGCCAGGTACACTGAGCACAGAGCTCTAGGGCAAACTGTACTTTGTCCCTCCTTGTCCCTTCTCTGGTCCAGCCCAGGCCAGTCATGTTGCTGGATCACTCCCACCCCTGAATTTGGCCCTGCCACACTCTGGCCCAGGTCAGATCTGAAGAGTCAGTGTCTTATTATTCGTAGCATCTGCTGTGGATCCACCAGTTTTTCCCGGGGCTTCCCAGCTACCTGGCCCTGAGCCACCTCTTCTTCATCCAGCTTCTCCCAGTCCTCAAAGGAGACAGGCTGGACCCCTGGAGTAGGGAAAAAAAGGGGCACACAGGTCAAGTCTGCCAGAACTACCCCACTAGCCACTTTCACTCTACCTTTCTACCTTTGCTCCCTCATCACAATATGTGCAGAACAAATCTCCCACCCACTCTCTTGCAAACTTCCCTATTTCTGTTAGGGCATCACCCCCCTTCCTTTCTCTCATATTCACAAGTTGGGCCATATTCTCTCTTTCTTCCTCTCCCTTGCCCCTCTTATCTAAGAGTTGCCAAATTTTGCCATTATCTTCTCTATAACATCTGACTTTACAATGGTCTCCCAATGAGTCTCTCAGATTTGTCTTTGTAACTCCAAGCACACAATATATGCACAATATAAGTCTGTTTGATCGATTCCTGCTCCTTACCCCACCCCAGAATCTCCACTAACCTCAAAAGGGCTGAGGACTTCCAAACAAGAGACTGATTCAGGACTAGGTTTCTCTTCTCTCCCATTCTCCTTTATTTCCTATAGATTGTTTTACAGTCCTTCCCAGCCTTTTGGCTCCATGGCCTTTAAATCAATGATCCGACAAATTAGGCAGGCTCCCAATTTCTACTGCCAGGGGCTGCCACCCATCCTACCTCGATTCTTGAGTAAGGGCTCTATCATGGCGTAGCCAAGCTTGGGGCCTAAAGGCAGCACTCCTTCCTCAAGGTCTTGGAGCAGGGCCTGGCCAGTAAGGAAGCTGTCATTCATGGTGGTGGCGATAACACCTGTGGGACCTCGCTTAACCCAGCCACTACAGTACAGACCTAGAGACAGACAAGAAATGGAACAAACAGAATTGAGAACATGAGTTTGGGCACATGCCTAACAATTCTGCTTCCTCCACTACCTTCCACACAGACACACAACATCTGTGACAGCCTGGCCTGCTCTGGCATTCAAGGCCCTATGCAACCTGGTTCCACCCGACTTCATCTTACACTCCCCTGCTCCTACATGATACTCTAGCCAAATGATGGCTGCCTGTACCTCATACACACTCTGTCTCCCCACCTTTATGCTTTCCTCACCACCTTTCCTATGATGCATCTGCTACCTGTTGATTTATAACCCATCCTTTAAAGATCAAATCAAATGGTGATCATCGCTTCTTAAACTGTAGGTCTCAACCAAGCACTGAAGGGGTCTCAAGTGGAAAAGGTTTAAGAAGCCCTGCTGAGACTATAAAACTCCTCTGATTCTCAGAGGAAGTAATCACCTTTCCCTCAAATGTCTTACATAGTTACTGTTATTTGTGTCATATCCCCCAATCTACCACTTCCCCATGAGGTCCATGAGGTCAGTCCGTCAATCAATCAACAAGTATTTATTCAGCACCTATGCGCAGGCACTGTGCTAAGGGTTGGGAACAGAGTACAAATACAGGCAGAAAGACAGTCCCAGCCCTCAAAGAGGTTACATTCTAATGGGGGAAGACAGCACATAAAAGGAAGCCTATCTTCTATCTCGCCAGTGGTTACCTACCTGTGTTCTGCATACAGTAGGTGCATATTTGTTGAATTTAATTTTGTCTGCCCCAATCTATCTCCAGGTATCTCCATCTCTGTAGCTGTTCTCCCTTCCTATATCCAACTGTTTCTCCTCCTCCCCTTTATATCCACCCCACCTCTTCATCCGTGTCTACACATTTCACTCCAGGGTGATTCTCCCTAAGAAACAGTCATCCATCCTCTCTCCTCCTTTCCTTTGAAAAATAAGTTTTCATAGATCTTTATTTTATACCACCTATATTTTTCTTTTCTTTTTCTTTCTTCTTCTTCTTCTTCTTTTTTTTTTTTTTTAGGCAATTAGGGTTAAGTGACTTGCCCAGGGTCACACAGCTAGTAAATGTCAAGCGTCTGGTCTGAGGCCAGATTTGAACTCAGGTCCTCCGGACTCCAGGGCCAGTGCTCTATCCACTGCACCACCTAGCTGCCCCACCTATATTTTCCAAAGTATCCCTCCCCATCCCCTTGCCAGAAAGCCATCCCATGTAACAAATAATTTTTTAACGGAGAAAAAACAGTTCAGCAAAGCTAAGCAATACTTTGAAAAAGTCTGACCTTAGAGTGCTCCATACCTATTGTCCCCCACCTCAGTACCTTCTCATATCTCTTTCCCCCTCCCACTTTTAAACTACCACCTTCACACACACCTGGTGCACCTAACACACGACCCTCACTGTTGGGGATAATTCCAAGCTTGGGATCAAAGGGCACAGTGGGGTCAATTGGACGGCTCTTGTAACCAACACTGCTCAGCACCAGTCCACACGGCACATCCTCCACTGCCCCTGTGGGCACTGCTTGGGCATTCTCACCGGAGCCCTACAGGAAATAAAGGGGACACACCATGAAAAGGGTTGAGTGTACATTCAGATAAAATGCCAACAGCACACCCCATCTAAGAACCAGGCAGGGACTTGAGCCTCATAACCAGAATCAATGCAAGGTGCTGGCTGTCATGGCATTTCCTACCTTATCCTTCCCATTAAGGACTCCCTAGAGGTCTTGGGAAGCGTGAGGAGCTCCTACAGGCAGGGAGGGAAGGAAAGCAGAGGGCCTGCTCTATACTTACCTCTAGTTTCATGACAGCCAGGCGGATCCCAGCAACTCGACCCCCATCTGGAGAGGCCAGCACCTTCTGAGGACTGCGTAAGAAGCGGAGGCCCCAGGCTCGAGGAGTCTCAGCTCTCCTATCAATCCCCTTGGCCTCTGGTGGCTTCAGTGCTGTTCGTACCAGAAGCTCCAATAGCCGCTTCCTTGGACGGGGAGCCACTGCCAATAACATCCAATGGTTCTGAGACCGCTCCCTTTCCCCTGGGCCACGTGCTCAGCCCTGGACCAGCCTGGACAAGCAACTTCCTTCTGGAACTCAATGTCTCTCTTGGACTTTCCTCCCTCCAATCACCAGAGAAACCCAGATTCAATGCCTCTTACCTTTGATCAATTCTTCCAGACCTGAGAAATCTGCAGGGTCCAAAAGGGGCTGGCTCCCAGGTAGGTTAATCATCTCCCGGAGCTCCTAGAGGCCACATGATTAGGAACATGATTAGGAATGTGAAAGGTATCAAGAGAAGAGAAAGACCAAGATCTCAATTCCCTGAGACCAGTCCAATCCCATTCTGGGGTGGGGGGGAGGTAACATTCCAGTTTTGAGGAACCCTATTTGCCATTTCCCCAACCCTTCTCACCTTGATGGTAAAGGCTGCCTGCAAGGGGCCCCTGCGGCCCACAATCCACACCCTTTGCACTTGGCTCTGTTCCAGCACATTCAGCGCTTCGGCAGTGATGTCTGTTTTCTGAAGGATAAGAAGACCCTTGAAAGTTTCTGGCACTGAGGAACAAGGGGCAGGAATTCCTTCCACTCAGCTTCCTAAACCCAGAGTCTTAGAGATACGACAGCTTGGTCAGAAACTGCACCACTTCCCCCTGGTGGCCATAGTCAGTGCTGTGTCCAGCTCAACTAAACCCAGGGCAGGTAGCGGCTAATTTTCAGTTTGCTCTTGTCCCTACAGAAGGCGGAGACCTCCACTGCACAAAGAGAAGATGGAAGTGCAGGACTAGGCTGAAGGGGGTGAAGGTGGAGCTGTGAGACATGAGCTCTCCAGGCAGCATTCCCTCTGCACATCATCCATCCTCCACAATCCCTGCCCCCCCAGCACTAGTCACCTCGAGGAGCTCTGTTGGGGTCAATAGGATCCGAGCCACATCCAGGGCCACGTTCCCTTGTCCCAGAATCAATGCCGTATCACAGTTCAGGTTAGGTGCCAGCTGAGGAGGAAATGATTCAGAAAAGGGGACTCTGAACAGGCCAAAGCTGGTCCCTCCATGTCCACCCCAGCCCTCTCTCTCTGAAGGTCCTGGATTCCCCTTTCTCTGCCTGCCATAGTTCCTCCATCCCTTTCTCAGCTCTATGCTCTGATTAGGCTAGTTTACTTGTTTACACAAGCCATTTGCTTGTTTCCATCTCTGTGACTCTGCCTCTGTCTGCTAGAACATCAACCCCATCCTCACTGCCAATTTATATGCTTCTTCAAAACCTGTCCCGTCCTCTGAGAGGCCTTCCTTGTGAACACCACTTCCTTCTGATCAAGCTCCTTTCCTCGATGTCCACTCTGTACTTTAGGTATTGAGTTTTTTCTATCTTTCTTATGTGTCTAGTTTTCCCTATTAGACTGAGAGGTTCGCCCCCCCACCCCTACTTTTCTTTCCAAACTCCTTCCCCAGTCTGAACACAGTAGAGATGATCGCTGGCTACATCTGGCCCTTGCCTGAGAGCTATATTCCCCAAGAAGTCTGGAGGAGCCAGGCATGCCTCCTCCCCCCAACACTCACCTTACGGTTCTCAGGTAACCCGTTGTACCAGCCCACAAAATCTCTGGCAGAGATTACACCCGGCAGCTCCTCACCTGGAATGCCCAGGGTCCGGTGATCCTCTGCCCCATAGCTCTATAAAAGAAAACAAGTCCCAGGTCCTTGAACAAATCACAATACCCACTGGCTACTAGGAAGGTCAGATCAACTGATGGCCATATTCCTCTTCCCTGACCCCACTCCCCCGACTCCTGCCACTATCTCCTGCTGTTCCCACGAGTACTCTAGCCCTTTGTATATTTGCCCATCTCTCCAGAAGTTTGTATTACCCCTTCACATCCAAATATATCTTAAGCTGTTTGCATCCCCAACTCACCCCTACCTTCCTTTATACCCACAACTTTCACCCCACAACCACACTGAATCCCAAATGCCCCACCTCTCCAAATTTCTAACGTCTTCACTTTTATGATCTCCCCACCCCAAACTCTCACAAGCCACCCATCCCTTCTACTTACTAACACAACAGCATGGTAGGCTTCCTGAAGCTCTGACATGGACACATCCCGTCCCACAGTCACATTGCCTCTGAAGGCACATCGAGGGGAGTAAGCAGTTTGGGTAAAGGTATTGATAACATTCTGCCAGAGGGAAGGAGGAGTAAGTGTCATGGGACCAGCCATCCTTATGCCACCCTCAGTTCTATATCATATGGACACATGGCAGGCTCTAGAGTCAGGAAACCTCTTGGGGGGGGGTCTTAGCACCAGAGGTGCCCTGGAGCATGGCTGCCCAGGCAAAGAGTCAGTGCCCAGCCAGAACTGCTGCCTCTTTCTCATCTTGACTTGAGTCCTTGTGGACCCTCAGCCCTCAGGAACCCACCTTCACCTCCGGGTGATCAGGAGCCACTCCAAAGCGGACCAAACCAAAGGGTACCAGCTGCTTCTCATAGATGTCCACCTGAGCCTGAGGATGGTGCTAAGGAGAGATGGCAGCAGCTACAGCGACTGGAGAGCACCTTTGAACAGAGACTCCTCCTCCCCTCCCCCACCATCAGCAGAACTGAAAGGGATGAGTCGTTACATTTCCCTCCTGAGAGAATTCAGTTCAAACAGATCAGAAAATTAAAAAACCAGGTCTTAAGTCTTAGAAGGGCTCTAATAATAATAATTCACATTGAGATAGTGCTTCAAGGGTTACAAAGCACTTTAATACATTATTGCATTTGATCCTCACAACAGCTATAGGAAATGTATTATTATTATCATCCTTGTTTTTACAGAGTAGGAAACTGTAGTTTTGAAAAGTTAAGAGACTTGCCCAGGGTCACACACAGCTAGGACTATCTGAGGTGTGATCAGAACCAAGCTCTTCACACTGCTCTGAGACTAGCACTCTGTCTCCTATAGGAGTGGTGTCAAATTCAGATCCCTGTGGGCTTCATATCGACTTAGAAAACCACAAATTAATATCTATGCTGTACTGTATTTTTATTTATTTTGTTAAACATTTCCCAATTACATTTTCATCTGTTTCAGGCAGCACTCTAAAGTTGTTAGATATCTCTGCCCTACACCACACTGCCCCTTAAGGCCTACAGGAAGGACTAGGGGCCCAGCAAATCTTCATCTGCACTGAGGTCTACCCAAGAGGCAGCAAAGACAGCAGGACAAACTGAGATGTTATCATGAGCATGTCAGGAAGGCTTTTTTCTTTTTTTTTTATTGGAGTTTGGGGAATCACAGGGGTTTGCCCAGTGAGGTAGGCGTTTCCCTGTTCTGAAGCACAAAGAAGGCTTGGATAACGGCTCAGGCACATGGAGGAACTGAAATATTACTTTGAAATGGACAATGAACTCCGATCACCTCACCAGGAACCAAGCTCTAATACTCCTGCCCATCACATGACAGAAATATACAGTGTGCTCAAACATGACTTTTAGCAAAGGACTCTGGCCTTTAAGAACACCATTCCCCCAGGCATGGAGTCAGTCATGATCCTCCCTCCCTTCTAACTTTACACCCAGTCACCAAGATTCCTTGATCCTTCCTTGGCACTATCTCTCAAATCTGCCCCTTCCTTTCCTTTCCCACTATCACAACCCTAGTTCAGAGTTAATGACCCTTAACATTACCTACTGAGATGATTACAACAGTCTGGTAAAGGTTGTCCTTTCCTCCATGATTTTCCCTCCTCTCAGCTGCTACCCCCACCCCCCAACTGCTCTATTCAGGGTTGCCAGATTGGTGTTCCTAATGCATAGACCTGATGTCACTTCAATGGCCTCACTACTGTCCTACAAAATTGAGTACAAACCCTTACCTTCCCCCGTCTGGCTCCTGCCCACTCTCCAACCTTTTCTCCCACTTCACCTCCATGTGAATCCCTTTCTGCAAACTGACCTATTCATGGGCTTCCCACAAAATACACAACATGAAGTGTCATATCCAGATATCAGCTGAATGACTTCACTTCTCTCTCAGGGCCTCAGTTTCCTCATCTGTTGGAATGGATGATTTCTGAAGCCTCTTCCAGCTCTTATTTCCCATGACCCTAGGACACGTATGCCATTTATAACTTTGCTTTTGACATTCCCCCAGTCAAGAATGCCCTCCCCAACATCCCCTCACTTATCTAAGTCCAGTCTATCTTTCAAGGTCCACATTAAGCCCCACCTTCTCTGCACATTCCTCCCAGGTCATCCCAGCCCCCAGTAATCTCTTCCTCCTTTCTCTGAATTCCATTTACTATGTGCACCATTCATCTAACAATATATGCTGCCTTGAGCCATCATTATCTTTTTGCAAGTGACTAGAGAAAATCAATATATAAAATGAATTTTAATTTTTCATCCATGTTTTTCTTTTATAACATATCCTATCTTTCCTATTAGATTGTGTCTCACAAGGCCTACTCTGTGTATTCTTTCTTCCTTACTGTACCTGAGCATGTGGTACTGATATTCTCTTAACTGCTTAACTGATGACTCCACCTTTACATGTCTTGTCTTTCTGACTAGATTCTAAGTTCCTTGAGGACAGGGATCCTGTCTTGCACCTCTTTGTTCGGAAAGCACTATGCTCCATAAAATAGTTATTAAGTAAATACCTATTCATGATTCCCCAAACCAAGCCCTCTCCATCCACGACCCTGAGTTTATGATTTTCTCCTTCAAAGTAGAGCTCATAAGGGCTCAGAAACAGAAATCCATACATGATTAGGAAGCCAAAATGCAGGGGGCAGATTTGGTGTCTGAATGACTCAACCTGATTCCCCCAAACTTTGGCCTTTTTCTTGTGGCTTCTTTCTTTGTTTGCCCTTTCTGATGCAGTCAAGATTCACCTATTCCCCTATTTCCCCCAATATATTTTAAGCTCCTTAAGGGTAGGGACCACATTGGCTGTTTTGCCCATAGATGCTCAGAGCACAGTATGGGCTTCTTTCTGGACACTTTAATTATGCCATATTGACTCTTCCTTACTGACTCCTACCTCCCACCGTCCTCCCTTCCTCCCCCAGCAGGGAGCTGGCCCTGAGGCTCAAGGGAAACAGGCAGCCTTGGGGCTTTGTCTACCAAGGCCAGTGACTTCAGCATGAAGAGCTCAGCCTTCACCTACAAAGATGAACCAGAGAAACGTAATGAGGAAGGGGGAGAGGATGAGTCATGAAGCAGCAAGGTCTTAGTAGAAAGCATACTGGCCTGGGAATCAGGAGACCTGGGTTCTAGTCTCAACTCTACCACCACCTAACTTTGTGACTCTAAATTATTCCTTTCACTTCTCTGGGTTCATCTGTAAAATGAAGGGGTTAGATGAGATGGTCTTTATGGTCTTAGGGAGTTTTAACAGTTTGTGATCCTAAGGTTAGGGACTGTAGTGAAAGGACACAGTAGTAGGGCTTGGATGAGGGGTGGTTTGGGGCAGTTCTGAGATGAAGAGGGGGAGATAAAGAAGGCTTAGAACAGGAGCTGACTACAGAAACGGGACAGTTGAAGAGAAAAGATGGAATTAGGAAATTCCTAAATTAGGAAACCTCTCCATCACACAGGCCAGCACCAGGGGACAGATGGGAATACCCCACCATACTAGTATTAGCCAGGCCAGATACCTTCCTAAAGACCCCTGGGGGAATCTGTGGTGCTCCAAGATGGGCAGAGAAGATGGGAGGGGGGTATGTGAGAAGAATCCACAGAAACAGGATTATTAAGCCTGGAAGAGTCCTGAGAGCTCATCTGCTGCAAAACCCTACTTTTCCATATGAGAAGCCTGAAGCTTGGAGAAAAAAAAAAGTGTCCTTTACCCTTCAGAATCTGGGAAATCTGTTAAAGTGTCTTCCATGAATAGGATGCTACAGAGCTTCTCTGTCTTTAAACTCTTGAAAGAGCTGGGCCAAGGGAAGAGAAGAGATAAGGAAGAGTCACATACCTTCAGCAGGTGTTGGGCTGTATAGAAACCAGCTGGGCCACTGCCTACCACACAGATGTGAGGGGCCAGCTCTAGGGTACAGAATAGTTGGCGGAACCCTGGGTGTGGGGAGGGGATAAGGTCAGACACACCTCATCTCATGCACAGGTTATCCCCTCACATGCAGAAGCAAACTTCAGCACCAACCTGCTATAGATACCACAGTTTTCTCCTCCTTCTCCTTCCCTTGTAGCTTATATACTTTGTCTTGTCACTTTATCTGTACCCAATCTCCAGCCAGTCCTGGACCTCAAAGCCCAGGGAAAGTCAGCAGCCCATACAGGGAGAAGCTGTACACCTCACCTCCACCATTCATTCATCCATTCCTATTTTCTCTCTCTGTTTCTCTGTCTCTCCCTCACACACATATATACATGGGGCCCTTATATCTCACCTCCACATATTCATTCACCTTTCTCTCTTCTGTTCCCATCCTCTCCCTCTCTCCCCTTACATGCATCCATTCACTCATTCTTCTCTCTTTCTCCTTCCTCACTGCCACAGGGACCTTATCTCACCTCCACACATTCTCTCTCTCTCTATTTCACTTTCACTCCCTCCTCCATAAGGCCCTTATACCCCACCTCCACACATATTCTATTTACACACAAACACACACACACACACACACACACACACACACACTCTCAGTCCTCCCGTGCCCACATCAGGCTACTCTCTCTAAGGCAGATGCCCCACACTGTCACGTGTCACTTCCATTCCCCCCCTCGAAATGCCCGATGCCCCTCCCCCATATCTTGCATACTCCCCCCTAAATGGGGGAGGGGAAGTGGGGGGGTGGGCCTCCCTCCCTCTGCTCCCTCCCTTCTCCAAAGGGCTCTGAGCCGAGGGTCAGCGGGGCTGGGCTCCAGCCTGGACCTGGCCCCTGACTCGCCGGGGGTGACGTCGGGCAGCCAGATCCCTTCACCTCCCTGGGACTCAGTTTCCTCACCTGCAGATGAAGGGGAGGGGCCTTCTTCTCTTCCCCCCCCCCCCCCCCCGGAGACCTCCGCCCCCCATTGGTGCCCATCTCGTACCGAAGGGAAAGGCGGCACCAGGAAGCAGCAGGGCCCGAGGCCGCGCCGCCCAGCGCCAGCAGCCCAAGCCCCGGGGAGCCATGGAGAGCTAGGGCCAAACACCTGCGGGTTGGGAGACCGAGACCCTGGAGCCTCCGGAGGCTCCGCCCCGCCCACCTTTGCGTCACGACCCAGGCCCCGCCTCTCCCGCACCGGTATCTCAGGGTCATCACGGCCCCGCCCCCTTCTGGGACGGGACCGTCCTTGGGCTCCACCCTCTATCATGCATAGCCCCGCCCCCAGCCAAGTTTCCGGAAGAAGAAAGTACTGACGGGGCAGAGGCCCGCCTTAATGCTCATTTGAGCCAATCATCAGGAGAAAAGGGAATGAGGACAAGTATTCCCTTCACTTCTTTCCCTGTCTCCAAGACGGCTCTGTGCGTAGACTTCAGCCAATGAAAAGAGAGCGTTCTGATTTGCCCCGCCCTTTCCTTGACGTGGTGGGGATTGGGCGCAAGATAAAGACTTTTCTCCTCTCTTTTCTTTATGATTCATCGTGAGGATTAGACCGAGCCCAGTTCCAGCCAGTCCTAAAAAGGGCGCTTAGTGCCCTGTGGAGGCGGATAAGAGAAGGTGGGAGGGACTGATAGAAGGGAGGGTGATGGGGGAGGCAGCGGTCAGAAGCAAAATACTTTTGACGAGGGACAGGGGGAAAGGAAAGAGAGAAAAGGATAAACAGTGGGGAGGGAAGGGGGAGCAGGATGGAGGGAAATAAACAATTAGTAATCATAACTGTCAATGTGAATGGGATGAACTCACCCATAAAATAGAAGCAGACAGCACAGTGTATTAGAAATCAAAATCCTACAACACGTAATTTACAAGACACATAACAGAGTAAAGGCAATGGGTAGGAGGAAAATATATTATGCTTCAGGTAAAGAAAAATAAAATCAGGAATAGCAATCATGATCTCAGAAAAAGGAGAAGCAAAAATAGCTCTAGTTAAGGGAGACAAACGTGGAAACTACATTTTGCTAAAAGGTACCATAGACAATGAAGTAATATCGATATGAAACATATATGTACCAAATGGTATAGCATCCAGATTCTTAAAGGAAAAGTTAAATGAGTTACAGGAGGAAATAGACAGTAAAACCATATTAGTGGGGGACCTCAACTTGCCCCTTTCAGAACTAGATAAATCTAACAACAACAACAACAAATAAGAAAGAAGTTAAAGAAATGAATAGAATTTTAGAAAAGTTAGATATAATAAACCTGTGGAGAAAGTTGAATGGGAATAGAAAGGAATATACCTTTTTCTCAGCAGTATGTGACACCTACACAAAAATTGACCATGTATTAGGGCATAAAAACCTTACAACCAAATGCAGAAAAGCAAAAATATTAAATGCATTCTTTTCAAATCAAAATGCAATAAAAATTACATTCAATAAAGGGCCATGGAAACATAGATTAAAATTAATTGGAAACTAAATAATCTGATCCTAAAGAATGAGTCAAAGAAAAGGAAGTTATTAGCATATTTGCTACTTGTCTCCCAGGACTGTTGGAAGGAAAGCATTTTATAAATCAGATGTTACAGAAATGGGAGCTGTTATTTTTATTTTCAAAAACAAAGGCTCCAGGGTTTCACTGAGAAGGGGACAGAAAAATTCCCTGAAGTTTAGCGCCAGTTCTACCAAGGTGACAAAAGCTGTGTGTGGCTTTGGACAATTCCACTTCAGTACTGTGGGTCTCAGTTTTCTCATCTGTAAAATGGGTACTTCTAAGTACTCTTCAGCTCTGGGAAGTCATATGCCCTTGGGCCTGAGCCCTGGGTGCAGGACAGTTATGATTACTAATTGTTTATTTCCCTCCATCCTGCTCCCCCTTCCCTCCCCACTGTTTATCCTTTTCTCTCTTTCCTTTCCCCCTGTTCCTCCTCAAAAGTATTTTGCTTCTGACCGCTGCCTCCCCCATCACCATCCCTTCTATCAGTCCCTCCCACCTTCTCTTATCCTCCTCCCCTCCTACTTTCTTGTAGGGTGAAATAGATTTCTATAACCAAGTGAGTATGTATGTTATTTCCTCTTAGAGCCAATTCCAGTGAGAGTAAGGTTCAAGTGTTGCCCAGCGCCCCCCCCATCTTTCCCTTCACTATAAAAGCTCTTTCGCACCTCTTTTATGTCAGATTATTTATCCCACTGTGCCTCTCCCTTTCCCCTTCTCCCAGTGCATCCCTTTTTCTCACCCCTTAATTTTTTTTTTTTTTTTGCTGTCATCCCATCATAGTCAACTCACACCCATGCTTTCTGTCTATACACTTCCAACTGGGCTAATAAAGAAAAATTTCTTAGAAGTTACAAGTATCATCTTCCCATGTAGGATGTAAACAGTTTATTAAATCTCTTATGATTTCTCTTTCCTGTTTACTTTTTTATGCTTTTCTTGAGTCTTGTGTTTGTATGTCAAATTTTCTATCCAGCTCATCAGGAATGCTTGAAAGTCCTCAATTTCATTAAACATCCATCCCCCCCCCCCCCCAAATGATTATGCTGAGTTTTGCTGAGTAGGTGATTCTTAGTTGTAATCCTAGCTCCTTTGCCTTCTGGAATATCATATTGCAAGGTGTTTGCCTTTTTCGTGGCTTTTTTTTTTTTTTGACTAGGCAATGGGGTTAAGTGACTTGCCCAGGGTCACAAAGCTAATAAGTGTTATGTGTCTGAGGCTGGACTTGAACTCGAGTCATCCTGAATCCAGGGCCAGTGTTCTATTCACTGTGCCACCTAGCTGCCCCTTTTTCCTAGCTTTTAAAGTTGGTCTCTGCTTCTGGGGCACCGTGGGGCACTGTCCCAGGCTTCTTGTGCTGGGGGCTAGGGGCCTGGTTACTGGCTTCATGTTCTGGGGCCTCAGATTTTGGCAGCTGGAGGCTGTAGAGGTTGTAGCTTACCTGGTGGTGGTGGCTGGTATGTGCTGAGGCCAGGTGGGGTTTTTCTGCGTTTCTCCAGGATTACACTAAAGCTCACAGGGTGAGGTGTGGGGTGGCGGTGGTCTGGCTGCAGGAGGTCACCTCCTCACCCTGGACTATATTAGAGCATGGGTAAGCTCAGTCACTGTTGGACACCTGTATGCCATGTGAATGGTCGTTCTCCATGCTGGTGTCTGCCAGTTACCCTGGCTGTGCCAAGGCACTCCAGGGTCCTGGTGTTGGCGCTTGCCTGTTCCAACTCCGTGGGGCTCAGGATCTCCTGCTGGTTTGCTGAGGTGGGGCTTGCCACTGGCATGTTGGCCATTCTGATAGGTGTGATGTGGTACCTCAGAGTTGTTTTGATTTGCATTTCTCTAATCAATAGTGATTTAGAGCATTTTTTCATATGACTATAGATGGCTTTAATTTCTTCATCTGAGAGCTGTGTGTTCATATCCTTTGATCACTTATCAATTGGGGAATGGCTTGTATTCTTATAAATTTGACTTAATTCTCTATATATTTTAGAAATGAGGCCCTTATCAGAGAGACTGGTTGTAAAAATTCTTTCCCAATTTTCTACCTTCCTTCTAATCTTAGTTGCATTGGCTTTGTTTGTGCAAAAACTTTTCAATTTAATGTAATCAAAATTATCTATTTTGCTTTTCGTAATGTTCTCTATCTCCTGTTTGGTCATGAATTCTTCTGTTCTCCATAGATCTGACAGGTAAACTATTCCTTGCTCTCTCAGTTTGCTTATAGTATCAGCCTTTGTATCTAAATCATGTACCCATTTTGACTTTATTTTGGTATATGGTGTGAGATTTTGGTCTATGCCTAGTTTCTGCCATACTCTTTTCTAGTTTTCCCAGCAGTTTTTTTCAAAGAGTGGGTTCTTATCCCAGAAGCTGGGGTCTTTGGGTTTATCAAATAATATATTACTATAGTCGTTGACTACTGTGTCTTGCATACTTAACCTATTCCACTGATCCACCACTCTATTTCTTAGCCAGTACCAAGCAGTTTTGATGATTGCTGCTTTATAATACAATTTAAGATCTGGAATGGCTAGGCCACCTTCCCCTGCATTTCTTTTCATTAGTTCTCTTGATATTCTGGACCTTTTGTTCTTCCAAATGAATCTTGTTATTATTTTTTCTAACTCTATATAATACTTTTTTGGTAGTTTGATTGGTATGGCACTGAATAAGTAAATTAGCTTAGATAGAATTGTCATTTTTATTATATTAGCTCAGCCTACCCATGAGCAATTGATGTTTTTCCAATTATTTAGATCTGATTTTATTTGCGTGAAAAGTGTTTTGTAATTGTGTTCATAGAGCTCCTGGGTTTGTTTTGGGAGGTAGACTGCTAAATATTTTATGATGTCTACAGTAAGTTTAAATGGAATTTCTCTTTCTATCTCTTGCTGTTGGGCTTTGTTGGTAATATATAGAAATGCCAATGATTTATGTGGGTCTATTTTATAGCCTGCAACTTTGCTGAAGTTGTTTATTATTTCAAGTAGTTTTTTACTTGATTCTCTGGGATTCTCTAAGTATAACATCATGCCATCTGCAAAGAGTGATAGCTTTGTTTCTTCTTTGCCTATTCTAATGCTTTCAATGTCTTTTTCTTCTCTTATTGCTAAAGCTAACATTTCCAGTACGATGTTGAATAACAGTGGTGATAATGGACATCCTTATTTCACCCCCGATCTTATTGGAAATGCTTCTAGCTTGTCCCCATTACATATTATGCTTGCTGAAGGTTTTAGATAGATGCTATATATTATTTTAAGGAAGACTCCATTTATACCTATGCTCTCTAGTGTTTTTAATAGGAATGGGTGTTGTATTTTGTCAAAAGCTTTTTCTGCATCTATTGAGATGATCATGTGGTTTCTGTTAGTTTTGGTGTTGATATGATGGATTATGCTGATAGTTTTCCTTATATTGAACCAGCCCTGCATTCCTGGTATAAATCCTATATGGTCATAGTGTATTATTTGTGTGGTAAGTTGCTGTAATCTATTTGCTAATATTTTGTTTAAAATTTTTGCATCTATAATCATTAGAGAAATTGGTCTATAATTTTCTTTCTCTGTTTTGACTCTTCCTGGTTTAGGTATCAGCACCACATTTGTATCATAAAAA